GGCTTTCGTTCCGTATCTCGTGTTCCTGTAGCGCTGCAGTGCGAGTTCGTAGTGCACGACGAGCTTGCTTTGCTGCGGACTACATGGCGGACACCAAGGTGCGAAATTTATTGCCAGTTGCATGATCGATCGAGGAGTTGTTTGCATTCATGCAGTTCTCAAGTACGAGTGCAGTGCGCGTTTGTTCAGCTTCAGATATGGAAGGGTTCGTGAACCCGTGTACCATGTGAGCCGTAAACAGGGCTTGGGTCCTCTTTACGGAGCGTTGTGAAAGTAGTCACTACGACTGGATCACGGAGTAGTGCAGTGCAGTTTTCAAGTTTCGACAAGAAAACGCCACTGTTCGGACATGGTGTTTGTTGAGACCGCTTGAAGCTCTTGAAGCTTGACAAGTCGTCTCTTCAACGATGAGGCCTTACTGACGTTTGCACTCAGTTTGTTCTCAGTCGCGCAATGGCGAGTGCTGTTTGAAGACCCGTACCGGTTGTTTCATGGCTGAAACGATGGGAGGATGCAGACCACGTCGCTGGTTGTGGACGAATTCAAATCTCGTTCTGCGTGTCGCCGGACGCACCAGACGAAGATTTGTGACGCCCAGCGTTGGTGCTGGCGGAAGCAGTTTTATCTGCGAATGCTCTGGACGATCATGTCGCGAGGATGGCGAGTTCTGACCTTGTTGTCGATCTTCATTCTCCAGATGTTCTGTTTGTGAAGAAAAAAAGTTTGTGGAGAGGATGGCCGGACAGTACATGACCTACTAGTATGTGCTGGAGTGTATACTCGTTACTCTTCGCGGTCCTTGTGCTTGGTGAAAGTTGACCAGTTTCCTGCAGAAGGAACTGTGTCCTGTGAAAGTGTGATGTTGATGGGTGCCTTTGCATCCTCAACAAATGACTGAACTGTGCACCGGTTCGGGTTGTGTACGGCTCAGAGGAGTCAGTTGGTCTCTGTGGATGAGGCGCCCGGATCGGTCAGTTGTAGCCAATTTCAGTTGGTGGTGATGAGCTTGCGTAGTGAGCAACGGAGAAGGGGACGGTGGTGACCATACAGGCCAGGATGGGATTCCTGGGGCCGAAGAAGTATGGTCTGCGCTTCATATAGGACGAGGTCCTAGAACTGAAGTGGAAAGGCTGTGGTGGGAGAGGATGATTTGGATCTGGATCCCTCGAGCACAGTGTTGGCTGATCAGGGGACGCCCTGTGTCGAGGAGCCTGGTAGGCGAGACTCATCTGGGGATGATGAGTTGTTGCGAGTGAGGTCCCAATTTGCTCGTTACCGGATGGATTTTACTACGAGCTCTTTACCGATCTTGTGTCACAACTGTGTAGCACCATCGGATTGAGTGAATGCTTTATGTGCCTGGCACCTGGCGAGGAATTGTATTTTCTCGTGAGCAGTCAGTGATATTGTTCAGTCGTATGAGCCCGATACGAGTGATATGCTGTATTCGGCTGATGACATGGTGTTCGCACCAAAACCTGTGGTGGATTGGACTTGCATCCTGCATCTCCAGTTGACTTACCTATTGTATCCGTCGCGGAGCCTGGTGGATGACACTGGCAACGTCGCGGTATCTCACCGACTACCTTATCGGTCGAGGATAGTCACGGGGACGTGATTCTTCAACGGCGGGGGAAATGTCACGTCCCAGAATAAGACTACTGCTGCCTGATAGTCCTGTGACAGCAGGATCTACATAGTGAGCAGCTCTGTGCTGAGCTGTCACGCCCTTTTAGTACAACATGGTTTGGCCAGTGTCTTGTCCCACGTGCTTAGCATGTAGGTTGAGCGACACGCGCTTTCCCACGTAGGTGACATGCCTTCTTGGCATGACACGTTATGGGATCCAAGGCCGGAACCTGGTCAGGTAGGTTCTCGCGTTGTACGTTTCCTGGAAGTTCTTCACTTCCTGGAAATGTGACCCCAGGCTTTGTGCAAAACCACGTCACTACGACGTTCTACAGGTTTCCACGATGCCTCGGCGCTTCGTGCAAAGAGCCAAGACTAATATGACATTGTATAACAAGAGCTAAGTGCAAGACATGAGACGTGTGCAAGAACCAAAACCGTCACCGCGCAAGAGGTCAGAGTATCACGCAAGCAAGACCAAGAATGCAGCAGAACTTACCATAAGAAGCCACTGAACTATGGCACGTTGGGTGAGCGGGCTCCCCAACGTGACCCTCATATACTCACATTGTACTCTGACGTGGGTGAGCGGGCTCCCCACGTCCCAGTTTGGTCTTTCTTCTCTCGATGTCTTTCTTTCTCTTTCTTCTCGAATGATCACCGTACGTATATTCTGCATTTCTGCTGACTGGCTGCGCACATTCCGGTTTGACTTGTTCTGCTAATTCCTGGAATTACCTCGCAATGATCACGCCATATATCTCTGAAGCACCCTATAAAAGAAGCTCTCATTCTCTCTTTTACTTCAGTTCCAGTTTAGTCTAGTCTAGTCTACACTAGTCTAGTCTAGCAGTCGAGACTCGGTCTCAGCTCTCTGTCTTCGTTTACTTTGAGCTCGGATTTGATACTACTCACAACGTAAAACTAACAGTCTCTGTCTGTTGATCGTGTGGGGTTGAACTTGGACCAAGCCAGCTATATTGGTTGGCCCCTGGGTTGTGTTGGGCTTGTCGTGAGGCCACACGTCTATATTCAGTCGCCGCTCGTAGTGATTTCGGGGTCCGGTCACTGTGAGCCGGGGATGCGACACATGATCAATGCACTGATGTTTCACAAAGTCCTTGCCTTCTTCAGAATGACGTTGAAATAACAGGAAGGGTGTGGGGGGGGGGGGGGGGGGATATTTTCTCCTAGCTATAATTTTTGCACCGCTTAGGCACATTTCATCACTACCCATGTTCTCCCCGATAGTTCATTATCATCGGATTCTCAAGAAGACACTCGTTAGTCAAGGAATATATTCGTATCAGTATTCATCAGCCCCCACCCATTGATACGACCATTCTAAACTAAAAGTAGCCAAACTTTTATATGCACCCGCCTTGGGAATGCTTCGGTGCAATACTATGACGTTTTCACTCACAGAGCAGCTGTTCCGCATATGGGGTAGTGGTCTACGAAAGCAATCACACTCACGATGGCAGGTTCCATGAAGTTGCGCGGAACAAGAGCAACTGCACAAAACATATTTGTAAATGAAAAATACGCTTTTCGTACTCTTTCGCTATTCTCAGCCGTAAAAAAAACAAAAAACATATTCATTTGAGGACATGTCTTGACTCAGCGCGTGCTGTTTCTGTTCCAGATGACTTTCCCAGTTATCATCTACCAACTGTGGGCAACATGGTCACATCTCGGCATCCGGTTACACCGAATGGCCTGAAGGTGTCTGTGACTACAAGTCAGTCTGCTACTAGACATGTCTCTACACTGTATCCAAGTCATGGCAACAAGCATGAGGTGGAATCCGGTTCTTCTACGCCGTCTGCCAACACAGAGAAATTACAAGGGTCCGAGAGAAGTCCTGCGCATGAAGCCATTGATCCAAGTGCAGTGTTGAAGCCAAGTTCAGCGGCCAGTGTCAATCAGACAACCAGAAGGCAAAGTGGACACTCTGGTAGTGTTGGCACTATCAATAGAACTGATTTAGTTCCTTGCCCTGGCTGTTCCGGCCCAACACTTGCAGTGGACCGGACAGCACTTGCAGTGGACCGGACAGCAGAGCCTAAAAGCTTCAACTTAATTATAGTGATCCTGGTCGGCGTAATCCTACTCGCCATGCTCTGTGTACCCATATACAAACGGATGAGACTAACTGGGAAAGGTGAGTCTAAGTCCGATATTTCCAAAACTGGGACTGACTACACACCACAGTAGTATTCACGACATGCGCTTTTCGCCTGACCTCATTCACCGCACCAGCCACACATTCACTGCACCAGCCACACATTCACTGCACCAGCCACACATTCACCACACCAGCAATGCATTAACAACATCAACAGAACTGATCAAAGTTGAAATAGATATTGTTTCTTCCGTAATGTCATTTTGATAAATAAATCTCGTTAGTCAGGGAAGGTTGTTGAAAACCGAATGGCCAAAAGTTCTCAAAAGTGCACCCTAAATTCTAAATAAGCCAGAGCACGCGAAAAGGGCGCTTAGCCTCACATTTTGGAAATTAGTTTTTGGGCATGATGTACCGGCAAACTTCAGAAAACATGAATATAGTAACAAAAAAAACTCCCGGTAATTCCGAAGTTACAAGCATTCTTGTTTGTTACTGCCTGACGGTCGCAAACACAAAATACAACTTCAATTGGATTTTCTCAGTTCATTGTGCAGTGAGCTAAGCACACTTTTCGGGTGCGCTGGCAAGGAATATGGAGCATAAGGGGACAATGTTCAATGATTCTTTTCGGCTTGGTGTAAGGAGAAAATAGACGGTGATTGATACGGGTTTGAAAGTAATTGTGCCAATGCTGGTGTGGCACAGTCCAAACAGTGGTACTACTGTCTTTACTACACCACTGCACCTAGGCATCCAGGCACTGCACCTAGGCATCCAGGCACTACAACTTAGGCATATCCTGTAGTGTGCAACTCTGTTTATGTCGTCACGGGTTTGAAATCGTGAACGAACTGCCTCTACGCTCCTCGCCACGCCACACAACAGAGGACTAGCACAAATTTTTAGAGAGCTTTTCTTCTACTTCATTTCAGTAGGCGACTGGGGAACTCATAAAGAAGAACCAACATTGACAACGAACGACTGACAACGAACGTCTGACTCTGACAACGAATGTCTAACAACTGACGACGACCGTCGGACAACTGACGACGAACGTCGGACAACTGACTCTGACAACGAACGTCTGACAACTCACCACTGACATGGCAAAAGGAAAACATGATATCAGAAATTGGTGCCCTCGTCAGCACAAAAGGTGGTGTACTCAGCACAAAAAGGTGCACGTGTCAACAACAAAGCAGCGCAGCAGCATGTACGGGTCAGCAGCACAGAGACACAAATACAGCAGCAGCTACGACGAAGAGACAACACGTGCAGCCACATGTACACACAGAGACACAAATACAGCAGCAGCTACGACGAAGAGATAACACGTGCAGGCGCAGGTACAACACTATTCCCTACCAAAAAAAGACATCCACTCCTGTGGATGGAAGCAAAAGTGAAGTGTATAAAAAACGGAAGAAGACAGACCGGAGAAGAAGACAGAAAGACAGGGGAAATGAAATATGAAGCAACATAAACAGGCGACAATAAAACACAAAAGAGGTGGGCCACAACTGTTGAACGCATGACGAGTAGGCCAGGAGGGTTAACACCAGTCGGGAGCCCCGCAAAACTGTGCACCAATCAACGGAACCTGCAAGCAACAGATTTTGCAAAGGACCCCGGCTGGCGAGCTGTTCGACCTGTGTTTGTCCCTTTGGATCTTTTATTCTTAGAACAGCACCAACCTAGTACGCCACCCATCCACCAGTCATGACAAAACAAAAGTACAAATGCATGAGAAAACAGGTTATGCCGACGGACCCAGCGACGCTTCCAGGAGCGGCGAGACCAACAGCACGCACCGGCCGAGAAGAAGACTGGGGCAGCATGACGCACACTGGCCGGCTGTCCGAAAACCGATGGCGCTACAGAAACTCCGAGAATCACAGGACACACACAGAAAGAGAGAAGGACTGACGCAAACATCTCAGCCATCACCAAAAATCAGAAAAGCACACGAAGGAAGGGAAGAACAGCCAGGAAGAACACGTCGACTGAAACAGGAGCAATTAATCAGTGAGGACACCATTGAGGACACACAAACAAATCGGTTACCAATACGCAAGAAGATAATGAAGAAAAACCACAGGGCGCTACCCTGAAAAAACCCACAGGGATTGAACCTGAAAAAACCACAGGGAGTGAACCTGAAAAAACCACAGGGATTGAACCTGAAAAACACGGAACTTATAGTACATCCGCTCGCAAAACCAAAAAACTGAAGACAAGAAACTGTCAGGGACCGATTGGGACGCACAAGGGCCAACCAGCAACACCCGGAAACCATAACACCCGCAAGGCAAACCGATACAAAAAAAACGCAGGATTCCTGCAGACCACCAAGCAGACCGTGGCTCACCATGATCAGACGCCCACCCAGACGAACTAGAGAAACCCACATGCCGAAACACAATTATTACAAACCACACGCTCACAAAAAAAATTCAACCTGGATCAAGAACGAGATTCCTACATGAAGTTCACACCTCCCACCAAACCGGAAGCCAACAGCTTTCCTACTTTGTTGACAGTGCATGACCGAGCCTGACAACGCTCTACACCATGTACACAGAACATGGAGAAACTACTACTAAAACGGTAAAAACACGAAACAAAACAATATGGATCGACTACATACGAGGCAGCACCTCGAGAACGTTCAGGTGGACATCTAAACAAATCACGCGACACAGTCACACTATCGGAGCAGTCCGACGGCAACTCCGTGACAAGCACAAGTGCACAACACAAGACGAGATCAAAGCTACCCATGCTGAATGCACGACGAACAAGCAAACACAAGTTCCAGATTCGAACGAGTAGCGCACGAACAGAAGTTTGAAATTTTCATACACAACAGTACAGTACAGGGTAGTCAGAGCGACACAACTAAGGCCTCGTTTACACGACAACGATTGAAAAACGTTTTTCAATCGTTTTCGAAACGTTTTTGCTGTTTACACGAAAACGATAATCGTGTACACTGCAACACTTTTTTCGGCGCGCAATAGTCACGTGCAAAAAGTTGGCCTGGCGCAGGCTGGCGGCGGCATGTTTTGAGTACAAGGCTCGTACTAGAAAAACGTTTTTGCCGTTTACACGAGAACGAAACGGTACGAAAACGATTGAAAAAACACTTTGAGGCCGTTTTTCGTTTGAAACGTTTTTGAAACGTTTTTCAGCGTTGTCGTGTAAACGCTCTTATCAAAATCTGTGGAAGCGTATTCTTTTGAAAACGTTTTTGACAAAAACGTTTTTCAATCGTTGTCGTGTAAACGAGGCCTAACACAACGGGGCGAACTTCCAACGAGCAGCAAGACTACACTACGAGTACACACTCGAACACAAGAGAACAAGGTTCCACGGAATTCCTGCCGGGACCCGAGTCACCCGACGCAAAACAATTATTTGAAAATTCGAAATCGAAGACAAGGTACCTCAACACATTACGCAGAGCAGACAATTACAAAGGCATGCTCACCTGAGTAGGAGCTCCAAGGATCTAGGAAAGGGTTGAACAGACGCAGCAAAGCGGAGCCATGGCGAGAACGCGAAGAGGAAAACGAAAAACACCGGCCGGAGAGCGACGAGCTTCAGGGTCGTGGGTTCGATTAGTTGGGCGCCAAATGTCGTCACGGGTTTAAAATCGTGAAGCTACGACGAAGAGATAACACGTGCAGGCGCAGGTACAACATTTAGGCTAATCATGGAGAAGGCAAATTTGAACTGAAACGGCAAACAGCACTAGTACTGTAGTATGTGTACAGGATACATGGAAAGCACAGCACCACTACTCCACTAGTGTGAAACAAGACAGTTCACATGCACGGTGTACATGCATACACCATACCAGCCTAGATTTGTTTTATGGGCAATTGCACTGTACATGCATACACCATACCAGCCCAGATTTGTTTTATGGGCAATCGCACTAGTGTTTTGTCTCTGGGTCTGTACTGCTTGCTGGATGTGTGCCAAGACGTCAGTGTATCTCTAACGTCTATGCCTATCGTCTTGTTTAAGATCCACCGGAGGTCTCCACTGACATACATGACCAGCTTCCTGCTTCAATACAGTTCACTGGTATGCTTTCTGGTAAGCTTACTTGTTTGGTATTGCTTGCAATGTTTCATGGTAGTAGTTAAGCCAAGTCAACGATGTCCAGGGAGACAGGCAGTGCATATGTAATGCAACATTGTTTCATGCCTCTGCAGATTTTGTCTGATAACAGATAACACAACTATTTCTATGGTGAAAAAGGAGAAGGACATAATGTTACGAGTTATGACTAACTGTCCTTCTCCTTTTCACCATAATTTAATTGGCTCACCATCCGAGTTCAACTTTGCACAACTATTTCTGGTAAGAAAAAATCGCATCCATCATACGTGTTCTTTCAACTTCTTTGCTTCATACTTGACCTTCCCTTCGAAATGCATTGCTCATGACACAGAATATAAAATGAGGTCTGGAGAGCAGTTTCCTGTTTGTATGGCCTTGCCTGGCCCCGGGTGCAACACAATGAAGCATGCATGTTGTGTACCTTGAGAGCACTGTTTGAGCAAGAGAAAAGTTGCTTGAGAGCACTGTTTGAGCAAGAGAAAAGTTGCAACACAATACAAACACTATACAACGGTGATAGAGGTTTCACAGGCACTGTCATCATTATGTGTAGCATTGTCAATCCTGCTTGCTCCACCGGGCACTGCATCATTGGAAAAGAAAGTTGATATGCTCAATCTCAGGACTAGGCTGACAGATTATACCGAAGGTGATGTGGCTGTTATTGCTTCTTTTTCTCTTGTCACGTATATCCCACAATGCAGGACCAGTGTGTCAGCAGATGCTGACGGTCTACGTTAGCTATTCGCGTAACACATTAGCCAGTGAGAAGGCCTTGATCGACTGGATGTCCACTTGGCTGCACTTGGCAGGTGTGAAAGTAGTCATTGATTACTACTATGAACATGAGGATGAGTTTAACAACGATCCCGCTGCTTGGATTGGCCAGCAAGTGGAAACGTGTGATTTCACCATAGTTGTCTGTTCTCGCTCCTTGGTTGAGAATTGGCAGGCTACGGATCACGATGCCGAGGAAGTGAATTTCAACCGTGCAACGTTTGAAGCACGTCTGTTGCGCAATCTCATGATCTACAAGCCCACATCTGTTATTCCAGTGTTGCTGTCTACTCCTGATCAGAGTCCACCGTCAAGATGCAACGTGCCATTCATGCTTAGAACTAGGACAATGTTTGAGCTTTTCTTTGATCTGGAAACCGAGATGATAGTGTGGGGCGATGCGGACAGTCTCCTCATGCAGTTGTACGGAGATGAGGTCTTATCTTGTCAACCCGCTCATGTCCATCCATCACCAAGAGTGGATGAGTCTACCAATGTGGTTAGTGTTCCGGCACAGGGAGACGCACGGCAGAAATCCGACCAACAATTGTCAACAAAAATCACTTCGAAGTCACATAGGAGTGCATCGCACGAATCTGGATCAGAATCTTGGGACAATAATCCATCCAAATTCCTTCCTATCTCACCAGCACCGTGTGCATACCAAACTGTACAGGTCGTACATCCGCATGCAACAGCAGTGGCATGTTCTGTGGAGCAACGGCGAACACCGGAAGAGCGAAGCGCCTCACCTTGGCAACAGTCCACATCGTATGTCAACACGCGTGCATCGTCACCAGTGTCGTTACAGTATGTACATATGGAGTCTGCTTTGTGACCGATGATGGCAGCCAGCAATACTGCAAGCTGTAACAGGTTAACCTGCATAGCATCATTTCCTGCTTTTTTCATCTCACATTATCGTACATTCCTCTTTGTTGAACCGCGCCTCAAATATTAATCTTTCTAATTTTTCATTGCAGGGTGGGGGTTGCAAAGGCTATGCGTTTTCCTGCATTTTTTCAGCTGGGTATATTGATTCAGAGATCAGTGTGATGTTTTCTTTTACACTGGCACGTTATTTTGTATGTGGCTCACACAGACGAATTTCTCTTCCTAGTTTACTGATTTTGTATTGATGATCTGCACATCAATTTTGCAAACTCCTTTGCAGCCCTTTATCTGAATAACTGCCGTTGACTACTTTTTGCTTGCTTGGCGCACACCAACCTTTAAAAGCACTTTCTTTCTGGCAATCACGGTCAAAGTCATATAGATGTGCAGTATACACCCATCATCCTTTTTTTAATTTTGCGCGTTCACAATCCAAAT